TTTATTATTTTACTCTATTATTATTATATTTATTTTTTACTTTATTTCTTATTATTATATTTATTATTTACTCTATTTATTATCATTACTGCGTTTATTATTTCACTCTATTTATTAGTAGTATTATATTTATTATTTTACTCCATTTATTATTATTACATTTATTATTTTTCTCTATTATTATTATATTAATTATTTACTCTATTTTTAATATTACGTTTATTATTTCACTCTATTTATTATTAGAATCATAGAATCAAAGAGTTGGAAGAGACCTCATGGGCCATCCAGTCCAACCCCATTCTGCCAAGAAGCAGGAAAATTGCATTCAAATCACCCCTGACAGATGGCCATTAGTATTACATTTATTATTTTTCCCTATTTATTATTATTATATTTATTATTTACTATATTTTTATTATTATGTTTATTATTTCACTCTATTTATTATTATTATATTTATTATTATGTACTCTATTTTATTATTACGGTTATTATTTCACTCTATTTATTATTAGTATTACATTTATTATTTTACTGTATTTATTATTAGTATTACATTTATTATTTCACTCTATTTATTATTAGTATTACATTTATTATTTTACTGTATTTATTATTAGTATTACATTTATTATTTCACTCTATTTATTATTAGTATTACATTTATTATTTCACTCTATTTATTATTAGTATTACATTTATTATTTTACTGTATTTATTATTAGTATTACATTTATTGTTTTACTCTATATGTTATTATTATATTTATTATTTTACTCTATTATTATTATTACATTATTATTTACTGTATTTTTATTATTGTTTATTATTTAACTATTTATTATTAGTATTATTACATTTATTCTTTTTCTCTATTTGTTATTATTACATTTATTATTAAATTTATTATGATTACATTATTTTTTTACTCTATTATTATTATTATTATTATTATTATTATTATTATTATTACATTAATTTTTTTACTCTATTATTATTGGAAGTATACGTAAGCACATTTACATTCCCCTGGCAAGCAGTATTGAAATCCTCATGGCCACCTACTCGTGGAATATGCTGCCTTCTGCTGTCGACGTCGTGCTTCACCCAGCTTAGGACGGCTCGGTAGACTTCCTCTTCCGAGGGTACGTTGAGACTATCACTGGAAATAAGGTCCAGAACCTGCAGAGGCAAAGAAGGTCCCGATGAATTGGGTTTTGAGAACCAAAGCCATCCAACAGCCAATCCCTCCACATCCATGAGTTATACTTTCACGGATTCACAATTATTTAACAACAACAACAACAACAACAACACTTTATTTATATTCCGCCCTTCTTCCCAAGTGGATTACAGCGTATAAACAGGCATAGGCAAACATTCAATGCCTTATTACAGTGAAATACAATGAAACACTAACAACACAGACAAAGGCAAAGGCTTCTCCTTTCATTTCCGGCACAAAGGCAAAGGTTTCTCCTTTCATTTCCGGCACAGACAAAGGCAAAGGCTTCCCCTTTCATTTCCGGCACAGACAAAGGCAAAGGTTTCTCCTTTCATTTTCAGCACAGACAAGGGCAAAGGCTTCTTCTTTCATTTCTGGCACAAAGGCAAAGGCTTCTCCTTTCATTTCTGGCACAAAGGCAAAGGCTTCTCCTTTCATTTCCGGCACAGACAAAGGCAAAGGCTTCTCCTTTCATTTCCAGCACAGACAAAGCAAAGGCTTCTCCTTTCATTTACGGCACAGACAAGGGCAAAGGCTTCTTCTTTCATTTCTGGCACAAAGGCAAAGGCTTCTCCTTTCATTTCTGGCACAAAGGCAAAGGCTTCTCCTTTCATTTCCAGCACAGACAAAGCAAAGGCTTCTCCTTTCATTTCCGGCACAGGCAAAACAAAGGCTTCTTCTTTCAGTTCCGGCACACAAGGCAAAGCATCTCCTTTCGTTTCCAACACAGACAAAGCAAAGGCTTCTCCTTTCATTTCCGGCACAGGCAATGGAAAAGGCATCTCCTTTCGTTTCCAACACAGAAAAAACAAAGGCTTCTCCTTTCATTTCCGGCACAGACAAAGCAAAGGCTTCTTCTTTCATTTCCGGCACAGGCAATGGAAAAGGCATCTCCTTTCGTTTCCAACACAGACAAAAACAAAGGCTTCTCCTTTCATTTCCGGCACAGACAAAGGCAAAGGCATCTCCTTTCGTTTCCAACACGCCTGGCGGGGACAAGAGACAGGGCGTTCTCGGTGGTGGCTCCTCGGCTGTGGAACACCTTTCCCGTGGACATCAGACTGGCTCCTTCCCTGATGATATTCCGCAGGAAACTAAAGACTTGGCTGTTCAAGAAGGCGTTCGAACAAGAAGTGCAATAATTGGTAATGACGACAGGAATGGAACAACAGAAAATGATACTGGATTGTGGTTTAACAATGAGACGACGCGAATGGCTTTTTGTATTATTGATATTGATATTGTTGATGTTTTTGATGACAATGCTTTTTGTTATTGCTAGATTGATTTTAGATTGTGTCTTGTAATTTGCACCCTGTCCTTTCTATGTTGTACACCGCTGTGAGTCGCCCCCGGGCTGAGAACAGCGGTATATAAGCACAGTAAATAAATAAAATAAAGGCAAAGGCTTCTCCTTTCATTTCCAGCACAGACAATGGAAAAGGCATCTCCTTTCGTTTCCAACACAGACAAAGCAAAGGCTTCTCCTTTCATTTCCGGCACAGACAAAGGCAAAGGCTTCTCCTTTCATTTCCAGCACAGACAATGGAAAAGGCATCTCCTTTCGTTTCCAACACAGACAAAGCAAAGGCTTCTCCTTTCATTTCCGGCACAGACAAAGGCAAAGGCTTCTCCTTTCATTTCCAGCACAGACAATGGAAAAGGCATCTCCTTTCGTTTCCAACACAGACAAAGCAAAGGCTTCTCCTTTCATTTCCGGCACAGACAAAGGCAAAGGCTTCTCCTTTCATTTCCAGCACAGACAATGGAAAAGGCATCTCCTTTCGTTTCCAACACAGACAAAAGCAAAGGCTTCTCCTTTCATTTCCGGCACAGACAAAGGCAAAGGCGTCTCCTTTCGTTTCCAACACAAAGGCAAAGGCTTCTTCTTTCATTTCCGGCACAGACAAAGGCAAAGACGTCTCCTTTCATTTCCAACACAAAGGCAAAGGCGTCTCCTTTCGTTTCCAACACAAAGGCAAAGGCTTCTCCTTTCATTTCTGGCACAGACAAAGGCAAAGGCCTCTCCTTTCGTTTCCAACACAAAGGCAAAGGCTTCTTCTTTCATTTCTGGCACAGACAAAGGCAAAGGCCTCTCCTTTCGTTTCCAACACAAAGGCAAAGGCTTCTTCTTTCATTTCCGGCACAGACAAAGGCAAAGGCGTCTCCTTTCATTTCCAACACAAAGGCAAAGGCTTCTCCTTTCATTTCCGGCACAAAGGCAAAGGCGTCTCCTTTCATTTCCGGCACAGACAAAGGCAAAGGCGTCCCTTTCGTTTCCAACACAAAGGCAAAGGCTTCTCCTTTCATTTCCGGCACAGACAAAGGCAAAGGCGTCTCCTTTCATTTCCAACACAAAGGCAAAGGCTTCTCCTTTCATTTCCGGCACAAAGGCAAAGGCGTCTCCTTTCATTTCTGGCACAGACAAAGGCTTCTCCTTTCATTTCCGGCACAGACAAAGGCAAAGGCGTCTCCTTTCATTTCCAACACAAAGGCAAAGGCTTCTCCTTTCATTTCCGGCACAAAGGCAAAGGCGTCTCCTTTCATTTCTGGCACAGACAAAGGCTTCTCCTTTCATTTCCGGCACAGACAAAGGCAAAGGCGTCTCCTTTCATTTCCAACACAAAGGCAAAGGCTTCTCCTTTCATTTCCGGCACAAAGGCAAAGGCGTCTCCTTTCATTTCTGGCACAGACAAAGGCAAAGGCGTCTCCTTTCATTTCCAACACAAAGGCAAAGGCTTCTCCTTTCATTTCCGGCACAAAGGCAAAGGCGTCTCCTTTCATTTCCGGCACAGACAAAGGCAAAGGCGTCTCCTTTCATTTCCAACACAAAGGCAAAGGCTTCTCCTTTCATTTCCAGCTCTGGAGGCAGTGCTCAATTCCGGCTCTGGGTAAGTGCTCATCTTCATTTTCAAGCCAATGACTCTACGTTGTCAGTAGGCGCCTCCTAGTCGTGTGGCCGGCCTGACTGTTATGGTTGGGGGGTTGCCACAACATGGGGAACTGTATTAAGGAGTTGCGAGATTAGAAAGGTTGTGAAACACTGGTTTAACCCATTGCACCACAACAATGGATCCAACTTTGTTGGAACATGCTAGGAATCAGTTAATGCATGTGTGTCAACTGTAAAATAAGAGGCATGAAACTGATTGGTCGGGCAATGCCTGGGGAGATGGCTGAGCCTGGGACTTTTGATTACTGTTACATTTTTGTTCAGGCTTGAGCTATGGAGATGCAGAGAGAGAAGCAGGGAGACACAGATTTTGGAGTGTACTCTTGCTTCATGAGCTGCTGAAGGAGTTTATCCACATGGACATAAAAAATAACGTTTTAAATATACATAAATAAAAATGCAATGGTCGTTTGTGGGATTAACATAATTCAGAAAACACTGGGCGAATTGACGCCAAATTTGGATTCAATACACCGATCAGGCCAACGAGTGACCATCAATCATAAAAACACTGAAAAACACAATGGAAGAGACTTAAAAAGTCAAAAAATAAAAAATACATTACAACGCATATATACACAAATATATATATACACACAAAACACATATACTGGGTCACATGGCAGGGAACGGCTCACATTGTACATATGTTGTCCTGAACTACGAAGAGTAAACAACTTGTTCCTTAGCTTCCAAAACCAGATAAGGTTTGGAGCGTTGCTCAAAATGGTGATGTTTTCTTACCTGCTTGAGAGGTAAAAGCATGAACTCTTCTGTCTTGGAGACATCCACAAAGTGCTGCAGGACATACTTGTGTGCCGACTTCAGGAGATCGCTGCAAGAGTGTGTGTCCGCAAAGCCTCGAATGCCCAGGCAGTTGGAAGGGTCCAGTTGGCTCAAGAGGAACTTGCAGCAAGCGTCCCGCACACCGTTCAGCTGGAGGAGGCTGGCTGCAGGGAGCAACGTCTGCAACGAAACCATAAGCAGATTGGCAAGAGATCTCTTTCTGCCTGGTTCACGTGGAGAGGAGTTCCTCTGGCCCTCCCGACTCGGATGAAATAACCAATCTCCCTCCCATGGCTCTCCTGAGGCACAAGATACAATCCTCAAGGAAAAAAAAAGTTTTATAATACAGGTTGAGGAATCTCAAATCGCTATCTATATCTATATATATAATAAAAAGTTGAAGTCCTTTGAATGCCACATCATGAGGAGACAGCAAAGCCTAGAGAAGACAATTATGCTGGGGAAAGTGGAAGGCAAAAGGAAGAGGGGCCGACCAAGGGCAAGATGGATGGATGGCATCCTTGAAGTGACTGGACTGCCCTTGAAGGAGCTGGGGGTGGTGACGGCCGACAGGGAGCTCTGGCGTGGGCTGGTCCATGAGGTCACGAAGAGTCGGAGACGACTGAATGAATGAACAAAGTACTTTCAAATGGTGTGGTTCCCAGTGACCACTGTGGCCCCCAACAAAGACCGATAAAGACTAAACTTGGCATACTGAGCCCCCATGACCCACTCTACATCCTACTGCGGTTTGGAGGAGGGCAGACCATGGATGATGGGACTTGAAGTACCTCCACTCGCTTTCCGAGACCGCTGCGACCCTCATCCAATGACTGAACAAGACCAAACTTGGCACACATAACCCCCATGACCCCTTTTACATCCTGGTGAGGTTTGGGGGAGGGCGGACAATGTATGATGGGATTTGTAGTACTTTCCAACACTTCGGTTCCCAGAGACCACTGAGGCTCCCAAAAATGACCAATAAACACCAAACTTGGCACACAGAGCACCCATGGCCCATTCTACATCCTACTGCAGTTTGGAGGAGGATGGACCATGAATGATGGGACTTGAAGTACCTCCACTCATTTCTCGAGACCGCTACGACTCTCATCCAATGACTGATGAAGACCAAACTTGGCACACATAGCCCCCATGACCCACTCTACATCCTGGTGCAGTTTGGAGGAGGGCAGAGCATGGATGATGGGACTTGAAGTATCTTCACTCACTTCCCAAGACCGCTGCCCACAACAAAGACTGAGAAAGACCAAACTTGGCACAGAGCCCCCATGACCCACTCTACATCCTGGTGCAGTTTGGAGGAGGGCAGAGCATGGATGATGGGACTTGAAGTATCTTCACTCACTTCCCAAGACCGCTGCAAACCTCATCCAATGACTGATCAAGACCAAACTTGGCATACAGAGCCCCCATGCCCCACTCTACATCCTCGTGCTATTTGGAGGAGGATGGACCATGGATGATGGGACTCGCAGTACCTTCACTAACTCCCTGAGAGCACTGCGAGCCACATAAATAACTGATAAAGACCAACCTTGACACACAATGCCTTTCTCAAATAACCTGGGCAGCGCCGGGTCCCCAAGCTAGTCTATATAAATAAAAATGTAATGTTCGTTTGTGGGATTAACAAAACTCAAAAACCACTGGGGGAATGGACACCAAATTTGGACACAAGACATGTATCAGGCCAATGTATGTCCTTCACTCAAAACAACAACGGAAACAAAAAGCAGAAAGGACTTCTGAACTGTATGTCCACTAAGGAGAAACTGCATGCCCACAAAGAGAGCCATGGCCACGCCTCCTCCTCCTCCCAGGGAAACAGCCGGCTGTTAAAGCTTGAGGAGCCAGCCACGCATGGACGGCCATACACACACACACACACACAAGCGAAAGTGGGCACCATGGGAGTGGAGGTGGACTGAACCCCACCGTTGATGCATTTAGAGCAAACTTGCCCAACATAACAAACTTGAAGTACTGATGGAGTTTCTTGGGGCTAACCTGATGTGAGTTGTAGTTCACCCACAACCTTATAGGCATTCTTACCTGCACATTCCCTTCTCCCACCACAATCTCAGCAGTGTAGGCATACTGGACCAGCTGCTCCAATGCCTGTGGATCAATATCATGGAGCGTGACGTGAGTCTGCCGGCTTTCGCTCATCTCATCTGACAAGGAGAGAAAGGGGAGAGCTTTATGAGGTTGTGTTGAGGCTCCACATAGACAGATATCGTGATGAGGGAGGGACATGTAGTGAAGCCTACAGTTCTTGTTTGTCATGTGCAGCACCATGTGTTGTAGTACACCCTGAGGGTGATGGGTTCACTGATGGTCTAGGGAGAATTGGGGGATTTCCTGTGAGATTTCCTGGGCACAAAGTACTGAAAATTCACGTCAAAAAATGATGGCTCTCTCTGGGGAAAACCTGATTCAGAAATGCAAGGGAGAGGAGCCAGAAACTACAACATTAGATAAGGAGTCGGGCAAAGAACTAAATGATACAGAAGGATCCCAGAGAAAAAAATGATGGCTCTCTCTGGGGGAAACCTGATACAGAAAGTGCAAGGGAGAGGAGCCAGAAACTACAACATTAGATAAGGAGTCGGGTGAAGAGCTAAAGGATACAGAAGAATCCCAGAGAGAAAAATGATGGCTCTCTCTGGGGAAAACCTGATTCAGAAAGTGCAAGGGAGAGGAGCCAGAAACTATAACAAGAACCAGAGAACACAGGCCTAGCTTCTTCACTTAAATGCTACGTTGCCTGAACTAACTCTTAAGTAAACAACTTGCTAATTTATAGACAGCCATGAAGTCGTTTCTTTTCCCATGAATTCTCTACTCAGATTTCCCACATAAGTGCTCTGACCTGCTCTAATCTGTAAACAAAGACTGCTGTTGACCTCCATAGCTCCAGGTGCTTTTCCTCTGGGATCCTTCTATTCAGTTAGCTCTTCGCCCGATTCCTTATCTAATATTGTCATTTCTGGCTCCTCTTCCTGACTTTGGAGCCTTAGTAAAAGCTTTGCAAGAATAAAAAACAAGAACATAGAAAACTTCCAGGATACTTAAATTCAATAACAAGGCTTGACTTGAAACAAGAACCAGAGAACACAGGCCTAGCTTCTTCACTTGAATGCTACGTTGCCTGAACTAACTCTTAAGTAAACAACTTGCTAATTAATAGACAGCCATGAAGTTGTTTCTTTTCCCATGAATTCTCTACTCAGATTTCCCACGTAAGCGCGTTGGCCTACTCTAATCTGTAAACGAAAACTTTTGTTGACTTCTATATCTCCAGTTGTGTTTCTCTGAGATCCTTCCGTATCATTTAGCTCTTCGCCCAACCCCTTATCTAATGTTGTAGTTTCTGGCTCCTCTCCCTTGCACTTTCTGAATCAGGTTTTCCCCAGAGCAAGCCATTATTTTTCTCTCTAGAATCCTTCTGTATCATTTAGTTCTTCACCCGACTTCTTATCTAATATTGTAGTTTCTGGCTCCTCTTCCTGACTTTGGAGCCTTAGTAAAAACTTCGCAGGAATAAAAAACAAGAACATAGAAAACTTCCAGGATACTTAAATTCAATAACAAGGCTTGACTTGAAACAAGAACCAGAGAACACAGGCCTAGCTTCTTTACTTGAATGCTACGTTGCTGAACTAACTCTTAAGTAAACAACTTGCTAATTAATAGACAGCCATGAAGTCTTTTCCCATGAATTCTCTACTCAGATTTCCCACATAAGCGCTCTGACCTGCTCTAATCTGTAAACAAAGACTGCTGTTGACCTCCATAGCTCCAGGTGCTTTTCCTCTTGGATCCTTCTATTCAGTTAGCTCTTCGCCTGATTCCTTATCTAATATTGTCATTTCTGGCTCCTTTTTCTGACTTTGGAGCCTTAGTAAAAACTTCGCAAGAATAAAAAACAAGAACATAAAAAACTTAATAGATACTTAAATCCAATAACAATAACTTGAATCAAGAACCAGAGAACACAGGCCTAGCTTCCTCACTTGAATGCTACGTTGCCTGAACTAACTCTTAAGTAAACAACTTGCTAATTAATAGACAACCATGAAGTCGTTTCTTTTCCCATGAATTCTCTACTCAGCTTTCCCACATAAGCTGCCAACCTAGCAGTTCGAAAACATGCAAATGTGAGTAGATAAATAGGCACCACGTCGGCGGGATAAGACAGGGATGACCCAGGAACAGAATTTCCATCTGATTGAGGCAGGTATTTTGAACCGAGCAGCCCTGAGACAAGGGTCGATTGTGAGAATGGAAGGAGAGGTATTTACTCGTGAACATGGCGTGGAAGTAGGGGCTGCAAGAGGCCAGCACCACTTTGTGGGCCTTGATCTCCTTGGTCGCCACGTGCAGGACGATGTCGCAGAGCAGCCCCCGCTGCCGCATGCGGTTCATGCAGACGAAGGCATCGTGGTAGTGCCGCTTCGAGTTGTGGGAGATGCTGTGGCCGTCCCGGTTCAGGAGCTGCATCCCGCTCTCCATGGCTGCAGGCGGATCGTTCCTGGCTCGTGGCAGCGCCCTTTCGGCCTCTCTGGAGAGAAACATAATTCGTTTTAACTTCGAAAAGAAAGGCAAAGAAAAGAAGACTCTGCTCACACAAAGATAACACCTCCCTGAACCCAAGACTCTGCAAGGAAGGCACGCATATGGTCCATCGTACTTGAAGCCCTTCAACGTCCTCTCCGGAATCCATGTATATTTATTACCCTCCTCTCCTTATGGATGGAGGTCCAAAGAGTAGAATGTCAAAAAGATTAAAAATTAACTGGATATTTCTGATTACAAAAGTGTGAGTCTAGCACTGAAAGAGTTAATAGGCTAGTATAGACCTGCAGAGTATGAGGTAAACCTCTGTGTGAGAGAAGCCACGTGTGAGAAAGCTTATCCTGAGGAGAGTAAGCTGAAGCCTCTTAGTGGGCCAAAGCTAGTGTCGTCCTTATGAGTGTGAGGTAAACCTCTGTGTGACAGGAGCTCCGTGTGAGAAAGCTTATCCTGAGGAGAGTGAGTAGGCCGAAGCCTGTTAGAGTCAGTGGGCAAAAGCTAGTTTAGTCCTGAGGAGTGTGAGGTAAACCTCTGTGTGAGAGAAGCTCCGTGTGAGAAAGCTTATCCTGAGGAGAGTGAGTAGGCCGAAGCCTGTTAGAGTTAGTGGGCCAAAGCTAGTGTAGTCTTGAGGAGTGTGAGGTAAACCTCTGTGTGAGAGAAGCTCCGTGTGAGAAAGCTTATCCTGAGGAGAGTGAGTAGGCCGAAGCCTGTTAGAGTTAGTGGGCCAAAGCTAGTGTAGTCCTGAGGAGTGTGAGGTAAACCTCTGTGTGAGAGAAGCCTTGTGTGAGAAGGCTTATCCTGAGGAGAGTGAGTAGGCCGAAGCCTGTTAGTGGGCCAAAGCTAGTGTAGTCTTGAGGAGTGTGAGGTAAACCTCTGTGTGGGAGAAGCTTCGTGTGAGAAGGCTTATCCTGAGGAGAGTGAGTAGGCTGAAGCCTCTTAGAGTTAGTGGGCCAAAGCTAGTGTAGTCCTGAGGAGTGTGAGGTAAACCTCTGTGTGAGAGAAGCTTCGTGTTAGAAAGCTTATCCTGAGGAGAGTGAGTAGGCTGAAGCCTGTTACAGTTAGTGGGCCAAAGCTAGTGTAGTCCTGAGGAGTGTGAGGTAAACCTCTGTGTGAGAGAAGCCTTGTGTGAGAAAGCTCCAGTATGAAGGCTGCTGCGTGTAAAGTTACTATGTATTTCCTTATTTGAGTTATGGAAACCTTGTTCTTGTAAATAGTGCAACCATATTATTTCTCACACAAGGCTTCTCTCACACAGAGGTTTACCACTGCCAAAGGGTTCCTAAGGCCATCAGATATATGAGTTTTTTGACGGTCTTTGGCGACCCCTCTGAAACCCCCTTGCAACCCCTCCGGGGGTTGCGACCCCCAAGTTGAGAAACGCTGGTTCAGACTGAGGACCGTTAAGGAAGGATGGTTGCTGGATGTGATATTTCAGAAGGCCAATGCAAACCACCTCTATGTGTTCCTTGCCTAGGAGAACCCTTTGAAACTCATGGGGTCAACATAAGTTGAAGGCACGTGGTCTTTGTAGACCCCTCTGAAAACCCCTCACAACCCCTCCGGGGGTCGCGACCCCCAGGTTGAGAAACGCTGGTTCAGACTGAGGACCGTTAAGGAAGGCCGGTTGCTGGACGTGATATTTCAGAAGGCCAAAGCAAATCACCTCTACATGCTCCTTGCCTAGGAGAACCCTTTGAAACTCATGGGGTCAACATAAGTTGAAGGCACATGTTCTTTGGAGACCCCTCTGAAAACCCCTTGCAACCCCCCCCGGGGTCCCGACCGTTCGACAAGGTCATAGATCATAGAATCAAAGAGTTGGAAGAGACCTCCTGGGCCATCATCCAGTCCAACCCCATTCTGCCAAGAAGCAGGAATATTGCATTCAAATCACCCCTGACAGATGGCCATCCAGCCTCTGTAAAAGCTTCCAAAGAAGGAGCCTCCACCACACTCCGGGGCAGAGAGTTCCACTGCTGAACGGCTCTCACAGTCAGGAAGTTCTTCCTCATGTTCAGATGGAATCTCCTCTCCTGTAGTTTGAAGCCATTGTTCCATTGCGTCCTAGTCTCCAGGAAGCAGAAAACAAGCTTGCTCCCTCCTCCCTGTGGCTTCCTCTCACATATTTATACATGGCTATCATATCTCCTCTCAGCCTTCTCTTCTTCAGGTTAAACATGCCCAGCTCCTTAAGCCGCTCCTCATAGGGCTTGTTCTCCAGACCCTTGATCATTCTAGTCACCCTCCTCTGGACACATTCCAGCTTGTCAATATCTCTCTTGAATTGTGGTGCCCAGAATTGGACACAATATTCCAGGTGTGGTCTAACCAAAGCAGAATAGAGGGGTAGCATGACTTCCCTAGATCTAGACACTATGCTCCTATTGATGCAGGCCAAAATCCCATTGGCTTTTTTTGCCGCCACATCACATTGTTGGCTCATGTTCACCTTGCTGTCCACGAGGACTCCAAGATCTTTTTCACACATACTGCTCTCGAGCCAGGCGTCCCCCATTCTGTATCTTTGCATTTCATTTTTTCTGCCAAAGTGGAGTATCTTGCATTTGTCACTGTTGAACTTCATTTTGTTAGTTTTGGCCATTCATCTCTCTAATCTGTCAAGATCGTTTTGAATCCTGCTCCTGTCCTCTGGACTATTGGCTATCCCTTCCTTGCCTAGGAGAACCCTTTGAAACTCATGGGGTCACCATAAGTTGAAGTCACATAGAGTCTTGGTTTTTTTTTTTTTTTTTTTTTTTTTTTTTTTTTTTTTTTTTTTTTTTTTTTTTTTTTTTTTTTTTTTTTTTTTTTTTTTTTTTTTTTTTTTTTTTTTTTTTTTTTTTTTTTTTTTTTTTTTTTTTTTTTTTTTTTTGTTTTTTTTTTTTTTTTTTTTTTTTTTTTTTTTTTTTTTTTTTTTTTTTTTTTTTTTTTTTTTTTTTTTTTTTTTTTTTTTTTTTTGTTTTTTTTTTTTTTTTTTTTTTTTTTTTTTTTTTTTTTTTTTTTTTTTTTTTTTTTTTTTGTTTGTTTTTTTTTTTTTTTTTTTTTTTGTTTGCTGATTTGTTTCTTTTCAATTTTTTTTATTTTTTTTTCTTTTTTTTTCTTTTTTTTTTTTTTTTTTTTTTTTTTTTTTTTTTTTTTTTTTTTTTTTTTTTTTTTTTTTTTTTTTTTTTTTTTTTTTTGTTTTTTTTTTTTTTTTTTTTTTTTTTTTTTTTTTTTTTTTTTTTTTTTTTTTTTTTTTTTTTTTTTTTTTTTTTTTGTTTGAAAGACACCCACGCTGGCATTCTGCCATTAACTCAGTCTCGCCCTCTGTCTCTCTCACACGCACACATTCGCACACATTTCCGCAGCCTTCGTCCTCCTGATAAACAGTGACACATTGCGGACTGCAAGAGAGAGAAGAATGGCATTCATGTGCAAACATGTCCAAAAATAACCGGGTCTCATTTGGGAGGAGGAATCCGTTGAATGTATTTCCTTTGGCTGCGAATTTGCCAAAGCGAGGGAGGTGGTGGCAGCAGCAATGACGGAGGCGGCTGCAAACGACGGGACTCGAGCCGAACGTGCTTCCTGCTACCCGGATTGACAGATGCACGCAGAGGCAGCGAAGATCACCAGCTTCCTGCCAGACTGTAAACAGAGAGCCGAAAAAAGGGTACAGCGCTCTTCCTGCGACGGAAGAGCGGGAACTCCCATCTTCGCCGGGAACAAGGGAAGACACTGCGGAGCGGCGACTGAACGGATATGACTCCCAAGAGCCACCCCCGTGTTAAGTGCTGCTCATGCGATAGAACGGGAAAAGAGCTTTATTGAACTTTAAGCACGATGCATAGGAGGATTGCTAATTAATGTCTGCAATGGCGGAAGCGTGAAGTATAATTATGAGCGTAGGCCGTGTTCCACTTGATTTTGGCAGGTGGGACTATGGGGATGGCAATGAGTTTGTCCCTTTTCCAGATCATATTCGTTTTAAGAGCAGGATAATTAACAGCTTTGCCTTTTCCGATAGCTCAGTGTTTCCCAACCTTCCTAATGCCATAACAGTAACCAAAAGTCCTAGTCTCAGCCATCTCCCCAGGCATTGCTTTCATGCATCTTATTTTACAGTTGACACATACACATTAACTGATTCCTTGCATGTTCCAACAAAATTGAATCCATTGCGATGGTGCATTGGGTTAAACCAGTGTTTTTCAACCTTCCTAATGTGGTAATAGTAACCAAAAGTCCCAGGCTCAGCCATCTCCCCAGGCATTGCCCAACCAATCACTTTCATGCATCTTATTTTACAGTTGACACAGACACATTAACTGATTTCCAACAAAGTTGAATCCATTGCGATGGTGCATTTGGTTAAACCAGTGTTTCTCAACCCTCCTAATGCTGTAACAGTAAACAAAAGTCCCAGGCTCAGCCATCTCCCTGGGCATTGCCCGACCAATCAGCTTCATGCATCTTATTTTACAGTTGACACATACACATTAACTGATTCCTTGCATGTTCCAACAAAGTTGAATCCATTGCAATGGTGCATTGGGTTAAACCAGTGTTTCTCAACCTCCCTAATGCCGTAACAGTAACCAAAATCCCAGGCTCAACCATCTCCCCAAGCATTGCCCGACCAATCACTTTCATGCGTCTTATTTTACAGTTGACACATACACATTAACTAATTCCTTGCATGTTCCAACAAAGTTGAATCCATTGCAGTGGTGCATTGGGTTAAACCAGTGTTTCTCAACCTTCCTAATGCCGTAACAGTAACCAAAAGTCCCAGGCTCAGCCATCTCCCCAGGCATGGCCCAACCAATCAGCTTCAACTCCCTTGCCTGCACATGCACACCGAGCTGCCACTTCCCAATCACGCTTGCTCTCCCCTTCTCTCTAGAGTCTCAGAAGCAGCCTGGTGTCTAGCACCGCATCAGATAGATATCAGTAGGAGAAACCGTATTATCCGACATTTTCATTTATCTGACATTCTGCCGGCCTGTT